AAATTTTGTTGTGCTCAAGAGTTGTCCCTGCTGCGGGCTCAGTGTTTCAGCAAGCCCAGGAGCAATAATTATAAGCTTAGATAACTTAAAAACACCAAGTAACAGTAAAGCAACCGAATCAGCTGGGCTCTCAAGGAAACCGAGATAACCATCCATGTAAAAAGTTTTGTAATACTGCGGAAGCCATTTTTAGATTTTTGGCCTGCTTGTCTTTTGCTTTTTGCTGAAGAAAAAACTTAGCGCGTGTCACTGAATCGCGGGCATAGATTATATGTCGTGTAAATTGAAACAACTCCGTATCTGATGTAGACTTTTCCAGACATGAGAAACAGAGAGACTGTTGATCCGATACCAGGGTATCAAGTAGATGGAACATGCCTTCTTTTTTTCACTGATAAGCACGATAGCGCTTGCGTTGAAGCGGAAAGTTCGAGGTTGTTTTTGTTAGTTTTTGTTAGTGAGTTTCAACTCAGTCTTCTGTAATTGATTTTTAAAGTCATTTAAGGAAGAAGATAATCTCATGTTAGTGCAGAGTTTTCGACTAACCAACAGCCGCTGCTGTTCAGGATTTTTTAGACGCTGCTGATCCGGATGAATCATTGGGAGGTTTCTTAGAAAGTTTATTCCAAGAAGATGACTTAATAGTGTAAGTTTTAAAGTTTGGAAGCTAATTTTGATCTACCTCTGCAGCAACAATTAATTCCATTTCTAAGAAATTTTACTTCTGAGGACTTCTATGGAAATTGTTTTTTGATCTAAAACCCCAAAACATAACCCCATAAAACATTTCAGGATTTTTGAATTGGTGTATTACCTTTAAAACTGGAGCAATTTCATTTTCTACGTTTTTTAACCTCAGATGAAAAGCAGATTTTGCTCATTGCTAACTAATACTGTTGCCGCACCAAAAAAGTTGGCAAACTGCCTAAATTTAAACTCTTCTGACTTCTGTTTGGTAGCACTTGCTTGTATTTTTTCATAAGCTTCAGATTTGTACTGTAATCATTCGTTAAACTCCAGTAATGTGGCGTGGTTTAAGTTACATTTAACTGTTTGAATCGACCAAGATGCTTTCACATTTAGTCACAGAAAGCTTAGCTAGAAGTGTGACACTTTCACAATCTTGTTTCTAAATAAAGGACTTAAACACTCCACCGAGGCTAGATATTGTTCAGGTGAACCCTATTATGAAGAGTTATGCGTACGCAAAAGGAACAACGTATCCATATGGGCACTTATTCAGTGTTCGGTTGACCAATTTCACACTGGAAGGTACTAATTGCATCTTTAGACATAGCTACGCTATACGCGCAAAATGGAATTTAAACCATAGGAGTCACCAGTGTTTTCAATTTTGTCAGTCTCACTTCATTGCTCAGGATATCGTTAGATTCAATTGCACTGTAAGTTTGCCCATACTAGTCACGCCATTGTAATGTATTGTCGTTATATTGTAATAGTTGACCTTAGTCTTCTAGTCCCTTGAAAATTACTGGGACGGGTAGTGGTCTTGTCTGTGATTCAGTGCCTGATGGATAGTAATCAGGTATAGGTCGCAGCGGTACGAAAGACAAAGCAGGGGTGTATGGGACAGTAATGGGCGCTGCGGGGCGTAAAAGACGGCCTGTAGAATTGGTGATTCTATTGTATTACATGCTATAGTAACCTGAGCGTAAGATTGATTGATTCGTCATTAAGTTAAGTAGTAGAGCAAACAAAGAGTAGAGTTCAAATAGTTTTCCCTTCGAAGATATCGTCCCTCTGATGCCAAAAAAATTTTTTTGGACGAAATCGGCGAACCACATTCCCCTCCAAAATCGGAACTAAGGAAGCTAATGTTATGAAACTCAGAGGAGGGATACTAGAGATGATTTGAGCCGGGCATACAAAAATCGGGGCCCCTCAGACCCTTGGGGGGCAAGTGATAACGGTCCCCGGAAGTGTAAATGGCCCTATCAGAACTCGGAAACTAGCGGCGGTGTTGGGCTCAAATTCTAGTATGTTGTAGGCCTAGTTAAGGGGAGCTTAAGTTTGGAACCCCAGGCCCCCAAAACCCCCACTTCCGGTTTTATGCCCTAAATCAACAAACCCACCCCTAACTTCCGGAAGGCGTTTCTCGGCCACCGATGTGCACAGGGAGCTGAAGTTTGGAGGGATGTTAGGTAGTGGCAAGCTAAATCTTGTATTATAATTTGAATCAAATCCGGCGGTTGGACCGGAAGCTATCAGCACTTGGAAAAACACCCCCTTAGACCAGAAATAGGCAATTTACGCGAAATGATGAACTGTGGCATAGTAATTTTATTGCGGCAATCGGCATCAGATACGGACCTCGAAAAAAGACCCCTTGTGAGTAAAAACCCTCCGGCGATTCCTTCAGGTGTTAATAGCCTTTTTCCGGAAAAAGCGATTATGGACCTTAGAAATGGGATAAGTTGTGAAGTATTAATGGGATATGAATGAAACTTGGTAGTTAAGATCCATGGGTGACCTTGGGTGACCTTAAGTTGACCTTTGGGCGTTTTGACCCCAAAGTTGCATAGAAAACCCCGAGATTAACACCGGAAAGTGGCGTTTTCCCCAGCCCAAACCCTGGAAATGAGAATGGGTCACCTTGCTAAGAATTGGGAAGAAAACTTATGTATTGGGAATTGAAGCGGAAGCCGATCTAGATACAGTTTTACCTTGCAACCTTGGAGTAGTGGGTTTAATTCGAATATTGGGTTCTTGGTAAACATTGGGTTCAATTTTGCTTGGTGAATGATCAAATAATAGCAATTCAACTGGACTGAAGAAAAGTATTGCCAGAGCAATCTGATAGTAATAGGACCATAGCATGAGAATTAAGTCTCTATAAAAGCATGAACGAACGGGGAATTTTTTTGGCTTCCCGGAGGTGACTTTTTAGTTTAATTTGACCCCCAATAGACGAACTACGTTCCCCTGATAGCTACAAGGTCGGGGTTGGAATAGAGTACAGATTGAAATTTTAGATGCTTGGAATGTTTTAGCTACCCATAAAAAGGGTCTCCCCCTACCCTTAGGAGCTCGGAACGTCAACGGGATATTTAAAATAAAGACCTAGGGAGGATTACTGAGTAAACATAGCATGCTTTGGAGGTTGAGTTGAACTCGAGAGCTGAAGTCACTGAGGTCAGGAATTAGTTGATTAGAATCTTATGACATTTTTTGCTTGGTCAAATTGTGACAGCTACCGCATACCGGGTAACCAATAAGCGTGAAAAGATTGATAAAAGAAAGCGAACTTGGCACGTGGCAGAGTTGACAAGGGGAGGGATATAGCCTTAAACATGTGCGGACGGGTGATTTAAGTGGATGTGAGGACTGATAGGGAATGGCGCGACTTAACTAAAGCTAAGTGTAAAGAAAGATAAGGAATTGGAGGGTACCGGAGAGCCTTCAAGAATCAGAACAGTGTTAGCTACCATTAAGAGTAGTTGGTTCTCGTCAGAGAAGAGAACAGTTTTTAACTATTATTGAGAGTAGTTGGTTCTTAGTTGGTTCAGAGAAAAGAGCAATTGATACTGGGAGAGAGTAGAGTTAATTCTCCGTTGATTAGAGAGAACAATTATTGCCAGTTAGTCATGTAATTGGTTCTCGGAGTAAGCGACCAGTGGATAGTTAGTTCTCTTCAGAGATTCTCTAGAGAGAGAGAGAATAGTTAGTGCTAGTGGAGTTAGTTGCAACATAATACAATACAGAATAGTTGCCACCAAAATAGCCCTTTCGGGATTGTAGATAGTAGTGAATCTCGGTCGGCCCACTGAATTCACTGCCCAAGGGACGACTTTGCGGTGTCGATAGGAAAGAGAGAACGAACCTAGAGAAGAAATCCCCTAAACCTACACGGCCCTTAACATAAAGGTATAAAAACAGGTTCAGACTGAAACAACAGACTATTTAATAAACGGTGCCTCCACTCGAATAAGAATGCGGCGCACAAAAGTTCGGAGCGACCTTGTAGGACCCAGAGGACATTGTATACTTTGTGGAAGGACATAAATATGGGAAACGTGTGACTGTACGCTGCAAAATCTAGCATTGCAATATCGGCGCCACGAGCTGCAAATCCAAAGTTCAATCCTGATTGAAGCCCAAGTATAGCGGCTACTCTAGCATATGTGAGTGAGAGTGAATAATGTACAAAAGTGAAGGAAACTCACCGTGAGGGACCGATGAGTACGCGATGTTTTACATGGCCCTTAAAACTTTGCTACTTCTCAATCATGCAACAATCTCAACCTTTCATAGAGAGCTTGTTTCGCTAATGCATAAATTTAGAAAGTTTTAGGGTTAATCAGCCAAAAATTCAAAGGATTGGTGACGGGGTCGAATCCTTGAGTGAGGGGAGCTTTTGCCAGACCATCCCCCCTAAGTACGCCCATGAGGGAAGTCATTAAAAACTGAAAAAAAAAACTTTTTCTTCTATGTTTCGAACAAAATGTTTTAATCAATTTTTTTTTCAGGCTGATGCAAACAGTCTCCTAATATCTTCGCAATTTTTATTTCCTCCATTAAGTCCGATGATTTGTCAAAGTTTCGTCGCATGCGAAAAACTTGTATAGAAAAATTTAATATATATATTTTTTTATTCGAGTTGCTCTATGAAACATCCGGAAAAACATCAAAGATTCCTTGCATTAATGGTTTGCTTATAAATTTGTAAATTTTTTGCGGTGCGATACCATGACAAAACCACTAATATTTCACAGTTTCATCAAATGAATAGCTTGTATAGCACTAATATTTCACAGTTTCATGGCATGAATAGCTTGTATAGAAAAAATAATTTTGTTGCGATTCGATTCGTTCCATGAAACAACGGGAAACTTTTCAGTTTCATCACATGAATATCTTTTGACGCCAGAACATCCCCTTTTTAATCCAGCTCTGAGGGAAATTGTTCAAAAAAAATGAAATAAAACAAACTTTTTTAAGTTTCTAATAAAATGTTTTAATTAAAATTTTTTCAGGCACTTTAAAGTGCAGTGCGAACAGTCATTGTGTCATGCTAATGCAAGCAGCCGGTCTTCTATGATATCTTCTATGTTGATTTTGGTAGTCTAGAATAGTGCGCATATTTAAACTCTTTACTTCATTGACCTCGTTTATTCATTTGAATAACTCTCTGTCCCGAACTTGATTCAGCAATTTCGTTTTCAAAATCATCCGGGCACAACTCAGGTTTCGCTTTGCAAACGATAAATGTCATCACGTAAGAGAAGGACAAGTTTCGTTTCAGCGTCGCGCCATGAATGAGGTACATACTCTTGCTTCCGCCAAGAGGGGGCAGTACGAATTTCTTGGTGAGTCCTTTTCCTCCAACTAACTTCAGACTTCCGTATCCGAACCCAACTTGACTGATCACATTTGCGCAGAGTTTATCATTCCACCTTGACTGAACAGAAACTAATTTTTTTTCAAAAACTTTAATTTGGACTGTACTGTGCTGTTTGTTTCAAATATATATGGCAAAACTTTCAGCTGTCCTAATTTTTTTTCCATTTTTTTCGTTTGTGTTTACTCAGTAAAAACTATTTAAAAAATTTTGTTAACATGTAGCACTGCTTAACTATTAATGTATACTATATATAAATGCACGTGACACGTATCTTACCATGCTTAAGCGTTTTTTTTGCTACAGTTAAGGGCATAAGGTATCTATGCGTGGTTACGATATATCGTATATTGTAATGCTTAGGAGTTTTTTTCTTCCATCTAGTGTTTGTTCCACCGAGTTAAAGTTAGCAGCACAAAAGTAGCATGCATGCGGTCAGAAAGTCCCTAGATTTTGCGATTTTGGTCTCCAGTTCAGTGTACGACATAAGACAATTTTTGAGATTTTTTCAGAAAACTCAATTTAAAAAAAAGTTTACAAAATTTGAAATTCCCAATCCTGTAGTTGGGCGCTGTGATAATAATCTCAAAGATTGCAAATTTTTCCTCCAATTATGACTGCTCAGATTTTTGTAGTTGTTGAGATTAGACGTGTTTTATGATTTCATTTAAATTTTTCAGAAAACTTCGATTTTAAAAAATTCTAAAGATTTGAATTTCCTAATCTTGTAGTTAGGTACTGTAAGGGTAATCTCAGAAGTTTTAAGATCTAATTTTTGCGTCCAAATGAGACGGATGAAATGCTCTTAGTTTTCGAGACATGACTTTTTTTGTGATTTTTCAAAAAATTTACAGAAAACCTAGGTTTATTTTTTTCTCAAATTCTGAAACTAAATAGGGGTTGTCAGAGTATAATCGAATACTAGCAAACCCCACTCTCAATTCTGACTGTTTACCCAAGCGAAGCTTGTGTGATCGAATGAACTCTCTTTTTTTCCCAACCTAAGTTGCAAATAGCTTTGCGACGCAAATATTGTTCAAACAAAATGTGTTCATTTTGATCATTAACCAGCTATCAAGTATAGCCAATGCTAAGGATATTAACAAAGACTGTTATTCTACAAATAGTACCTAAGCTTCGAGGTATCATGAATCTGTAGCGTAGGGGCAGGGAAGGAGACCGGCAACGAAATAAGAGGGCTCGAACCTGGGCAGAGTCTGATGTTTTTAATGAGTTTTTGAAAGTCAGAATGCGCAGTGGGCGCAATGTTTTACGCTGCAGATGATGTAGATGCCATTCATGCTATGCTAATTTTTTTTTGCGATTCGATTTGCTTCTTGAAACAACTGTAAAAAAACTCAACATTTCGTTACAAGAATGACTGACCTCGAAAAAAAAACGTAAGTTGGTTACGTTTCCATTCGCTCCATGAAGTAATTGATGATAATTCAAGGTTTCAGATCATGATAAGCTTGTATAGAAAAGCTTATTTTTTTGCGATTCGATTTGCTCTTTGAAACAACCGGAAAAATTCAAAATTGCAAGAAAGGTTTGTTGAAAAAACGTATTTCTTTTTGCAATTCGATACGCTCCATGAAACAAATAGTATTTTTTCACTGTTTCATCGCATGAATAGCTTGTATATAAAATTTTAATGTAAAGAAGAACTGTTTGAAACAATTTGAAATGTGTGATGGCTCGGATAGCTTGCTCAGAAAAAACCTGATTTTTTTTGAGCGATTCGGTTTGCTTTATGACTCAACCGGAAAAATTCAAAGTTTCCTTGCAAGACTGGTTTATTGAAAAAAAAAATATATTTTTTCGCAATTTGATTCGCTCCATGAAACAAATAATATTTTTTCACAATTTCATCGCATGAATAGCTTGTAAATAAAAACTTAAATTTTTTTAAATTCGATCATTTCCATGAAACGACAGAAAAGATTTCGATGCATGAAAATGTTGTATAGATAAAATTAAGTTGCTCCGAGAAACAAACGGAAAAATTTCAAGTATTCCTAGCAAGATTGGTGTGTATTAGAAAAACATCAAGTTTTTGCAATTCGATTCGCTCGATGACACAACTGAAAAAAAATCAAGGTTTTCCTGCGTGAATAATTTGCAATAGAAAAACTTAAATTTGCTACATTTTGATTCGCTCCATTAAATAACTGATATTTTTCCAAGGTTTCTTTGCATGAATAGTTCGAATAGAAAAACTTAATTTTTTGCGATTCGGTTCGCTCCATGAAACAACAGAAAAATTTTCAAAGTCTCATCGCATGAATCGTTTTGTATAAATAAACCTAGTTTTTGCGATTCGATTTGCTTCTTAAATGAACTGGAAAAGTTTCCTAGTTTCATTGCATGAATAGCTTGTTTAGAAAGTCGTACTGTAAGGAAAAACTGTTTGCGATTCAATTTTCTCCCGAAACAGCTTGAAATGTGTCATGACTCAAATAGCTAGCTAAGAAAAACTTAATATTTCGCAAAGCGATTTTGTTTCCTTAGCTTTCTTGATCAACTCTTAGCTTTTGAAAACTGATTTGCCCAATAAAAGAACCCTAATTAATCCAAACTTCATTGCTGCAATAGCATGCTTGAATAACTTGAAATTTCTGCAAAGCAATCTACTTTACAAAAAAATTTTAAGATCGTCACCTCATATGTTGTTTGAACAATTCTTCTTTTTTGCGAGCCGATTCTTTAATGAATTATTTTTGAACTTTATAGAAAAATTATTTGTAATGCTTGTTAGAAAAGTTATAAGTTTTTCGCGAATTGATTTGCTGAATGAAATAATTTGCTCAATTAAATACTTTTAAGTTACTTCAAACTTATAACGCTTGAATAGGTTGCTAGGTATTTTTGCGAACTGATTTACGAAATGAATCAATTTCCGAATTCTTTATTACGTGTTCCATTTTTCGCGATCGAAAAACATGTGCGTCATGAACAAAAATAATTGAGAAAAAAGAATAAAAATTGAATCTATTCGAAATTTACCAATCGAGTTATTCTAAATTTTCGCGTAGGCTAAGTTAAGAGCAACTACTAGTCAAGATCAAAGATAAAATGGTTTAAAAAAAGAATAATACTAATGATGGTTTAATTACAAAAATAATGAGTTTGAATTAATCAGCACTTATAATTAATTAAAAAGTCATCGAAAAAAAAATGTTTTCCTCGAAAAGTTTTTTTTTTTCAGAATGATATGTTGCACACTTTTACTACCGTTGCGCATCCTATTTTTTTTCAAGCTTACCCAATTTACGTTCGAATCTTGTTTGCTTAGAAAAGATATTTTAATTTTGAGATTATATTTTCACCGATTTAATATAATCTATGCGTAAAAAATGATTTCAAAAGTATTTTCATTATTATCTTGAATTAAAAAAAAAGCATTCAAGCCTAATTCTGGTACCTTGCTTTAGACATGCTAATATTTTTAGCCTATCAATCCTAAAAAAATTGCGGAGGCCTTGTTCTGGTTGATATATTTCATTGACGTTTAACTATGTTTTTTTAATCCAGCTCGGTCATTAAACTAGAACGATACTTCTACATTGGAAAAACAGGCGGAATGGATGCATGCGTTTTCGGTTCGGATTTCTAAGGAGCTGTATGCATGAATGGGGTTTAAATACAAAGTAAAGAAAGTTGAGAAACAACTAAAAAATACAAAAAGTATATAAAAACTAACGGAAAAAATTATGAAGAAAAAAATTAGAAAACTAGATATCACAACGTATCTTGGAAAAAATAACTTTTAAACTAGAAAAGAGAAAAAAATAGGTTTATAATTCAAGATAAACTGCATAAAATGGATTTTGTCGCTTGTAAGAAAAATCATTAAAGTAGGGTTCAAATCAATCATATTCAAACTCTTATTCATATTGTCTATAAAACGTCATTAGAAATTTCTTATTCATAAATGGTGCGGTTATTATGTTTTAGTTATTATGTTTTTATTATTAAACATTTGTACCCGTACTGACGAGAAATGGACTGCGATCGATTTTATGCAGATAATGTACCAGAGACCTTAAAAAAATGTATTTGAATAGATTTAAAATCGATTCATTTAATACAAAAAAGTAGCTTAACGATCCATTTAATCCATGCTAAGTCGATTTAAGCATCTAAATGGGTTATCGTAAATCGGTTTTTATTCAGTATTATGAGTAAATAAAAATCAATTTAAATCGATTTCAGTCTCAAGTTTGTCAGTGCGGGTAGCACTCATTGCAGACTCTTCTCTTTGGCTTGCGTCTTTTGTAGAGACATTCTTGAATAATTTCCAGACCATAGCGACAAAAATACGATTTTTCTAGACTTCGGTGTCTACAAAACCCTTTACAGGCTAAGATTTTTGAAATCGCAATGCCATTAGGCGGGATCTTAAACTTCTAGTATAAAATCAAGAATGTGAGCAGAGCTAGGAATTTCACTCTTGTTTGAAAAATCTATATATTGACATAAGTTATCAGCTGACCGTTCCTTTCAGCCGAACGAACTTTTGGCGCCAATACAGACTATTTAAGTGAAAAAACGCTAGCTTAAAAACTGATTTACCTTGACATAAGCCAGATTTTTTTCTCCGTAGTCGCTGAATTGGAGAGTTTTTTCCGCGTATTCTCTAGGTGACAGTCCGTTTTTTTGCCCTTGTTCCATGTACATGTTTACTTGGTACGTGCAGCAACCACCTAAAACACCAGAGTTAAATTGTAAAATTTGTAAAATTAGTGTTCAAAGAGCCGGGTGGTGGGTGCAATTTCACGCAAGCCGACAGTTCTTCAGTTCTCGAAAATTGAAAACCATTAGAACTACGAACAGAGGAAACTGGCCGAAATGTACTTCAGCATAATTAATTCAAAAAAGAAACGGAAACAAAAAGAAGCATAGCATTTGCACAACGAAATGATCTTGTTTTGTAGCAATCTAAATTTTTTTAGGAAGCTGTACTAATTAATATTATAAGCTGAAGAATTAATTATCTTCCAAAAAAACACCTTTCAAATGGTGAGAAATGTCTACAAAAAATGACAACGAGGATTTATGTCAGCTTAGTTACAGGTTATTGGAATTGCCGACAGTTTTGAAAGCTTGAGCAATAGTTTCCAATGACTTATTTTGAGGTTACAATTGAGATCTCCCAAGAAAATGGTGAGGTCCCTTTTATAAATTACATAGACTCAAAGGCTTGCATTTCATTGCATTGGTGTCACTAAAAACTTTTTACAATAATTATTAACCAGGTTAGGTCAATTACATTTACAGTTTTTGACTGTCATCACGATATCACTTTAAGATCGGATTGTCAGCTGTATTGAAATTGCCAGCAACAAATGGTTTTTGTGCCTATACCTATAGTTATGACCCTATTTTGCTAAAAGTTATACCTTTAGTTATGCCCCTATAAGTAGAAAAATCGGTGTATAAATTGTTTATAAAGTATAAACAAGACTGATTGTATCAGGGCGAAGCCCTGAATGTTTCGACTGCCTTTTAAGGTCTAGGGAGCAGTAATAACATGAAAAAATTCAACGCAATAAAATAAAACGAATTTTTTTATTTGAGATTTTTTGTGAAAATCATCAACCCACACGCCTTATAAAGTACAAAATTTTGAAATTTGCTCCTATTAACAAATCAATTAGGGCAAATAAGCTTACTTCGACCAATTTGGAACGATTTCTGAGACGGATTAAACCTCCGCTTACGCGTTAAGAACGCGAAATATATCGCGCGTCAGTTGTCCTAAATCGGCCAAAATGGCCAATCTTTAAACCCCCTAAATTTTACAAAAAAGGTCGCAGGTGAAATATTTTTTCAATTTTAGGCTCAGAACAACAATAACTTTTGAATGATTAAAAAAAATTCCGTCAAAAATGGCTAGTTAAAAAATCGAAGTTTGTCTGAAGACAAAAATTACAGCGAGCACAAATATTCCGCTACTTTCGTTATAAAAGTCGGACAAACCAGACGGTTTGTATCAAAACGAAGCCCTGAATTTTCCGACTGCCTTTTAAGGTCCATAAGGCAGTAATATCATGAAAAAATTAAATGTAGTTAATAACGCGAAATATATTGCGTGTTAATTGTCCCAAATTGGCAAACATTTTTAAAACCCCATAATTTTACAAAAAGGATTGCAGGTGAAAGATATTTTCAAATTTAGACTCAAGACAACAATACCTCCGATACTTTTTCCGCTACTTTTCCGATACAACAAATTTTCCGATACTTTTGCTTCAAAAGTCGGACAAAAAACGTTGAATAAAATTTGAATATATTGATTCTATTCGATTTGAATATGCTGAAATTGATTAAAATTGGCTGTAAACGCTTCAAAAATAAAGCTATAAAATGATAAAAAGATGAATTGAATCAATTTGGGCCTATTTACAAAACCATTCCAGACTTTATCAGCTCTGACAAAACAAGATTATGATCGATTTAAATCATTTTTAAATCAATCATTAATTCGATTAACCAGGTACATACTCAGAACTGAAAAAGAAACTAAAACAAATTTTTTGTTTATATTGAGCTGTCGGAAGAACTTGTGATCGATGTCTTAAAAAAGATTTAAATCAATTTCGACTAATTTTGCTAGCTAAAATCCATCCAAAATCATCAAAACTGTTTTAATTAATTTTTTTTGGGTTGTTCCAAAAAACTTTGTACTCGCACCGGATTTTCCTGGATCAGAATCGATTATAATAGAAAATTTTGTCTAAAATGTTGTTCTTATAATCTATTATTGTTGCAAATTTAAATCATAAATTCGATTATTTTGTCGTTTTTTCTCATAGAAACACAAATCCAATACAATATAAAAAGTAGATTATAAACTATTTAAAACCCATTATAAATTACCATAGTGAATTATAATCTGTATTTTTTTCTCCAAAATTATTAGCAGTTTCTACAACACTCACGGCCTGCTCGAATCTTAAACCTAATCATTTTTATATAAAATGCGAGTCTTACATTCCTCTACCCATTCGAGAGTTCACCATTCCCCTTCTCCGATTGGTGGGGGAGGGGTTGGGTGGGTATCTTATGCTAGAGGTATGGCAAGAGCTTTAATTTGGATGTCAAGGTAAACTAAAAACTTATGAGAATCTCGTTTTATCTGGATTAACGCTTATCAAGCAGCTGTTGAAGCAACGGTTTTTTTAAAACCAGCAAGCCCGTCTCAATTAACCAATCGACTCGTAGCAAGTTGTTTGTATTGAGCAAGCAGCAAGCTATTTCAAGCAAAGAAGTTTGAATAACTTGAGTTAGTCCATACTGTAAATCGGTTTGCAAAATTTATTGAAGTTCAATTTCAAAGTTGATTGAGGCAAGCTATTCAGTCAAGCCAGCTTTGAACTATTTCAAAATATTTCAGCTTGAACCAATTTTCAAATATTTTCTGAGCAAGCCATTCAGTTGATTAAAGGAAACTATGAAACTTGGAAGTTTAAAGATTATACCGTGAATCGATTCAAAAACATTGATGATTTTTTCAGCGAGCAACTAAAGCAATGATCTACAAACACTGTGAATTTATTTCATTGCGTGAATCGGTTTAAAAAAATTGAAAAAATCATTGCGTGATTCAGTTCGCAAAATTTACTGGGCAAACTAATTAATGGCTAAATCTTTGAAATATGTCAGGTCTTTTCATAAAAGGAATCAGTTCGCAAATTTTTTAGGTTTTTCTTAGGAAGCTCTTCAAAAAATAGAACTTTCAACTATTCCGTAACATCAGACAGCCAAGCAGTACATGAAAAGGTTTCGTCTTTCCATGCAAACTTACTAAGCGATAAAACCTTCAATTATTTCCAATTAATTTATAGAGGGAATCGGCCCGCTAAGAAAAGAGTTTCTCTAAGCCAGCTATTGAAGCAATGAAACATCGACACTTAGTATTTCAAAGTGCAAACGCTTGATTGGTTTGCCTTAGAATTTAATTTTTCGCGAAGCAAATCTTTTTATGGAAGAACTCGATGAATTTAAGTCCTGTAGGCAAACCAATCTAGCGATTGCACTTTGAAATAATTAGCGTTATTTCAAGGAGCGAAGTAATGCAAAGAAAGTTCAAGTTTTTAGTTGCAAAATATTCAAGTCATGAAACTTTGCAATCATTGATAAAATTTCATAGAGCGAATTAGTTAGGGGAAAACTTAAGTTCTTAAGAGCAAGCTGTTCAAGTGATGAAGTTTTGATAAATTTTAAGTCAATTCACGAGGCGAATTGGTTCGCGATTAGACTAAATGTTTATTGAAGCAATGGCATTTCGAAATACGTTAAGCCATTTTAAAGAACGAGTCAGTTCGCAAAGAGATTAAATTTTACAGCAAAGAAAATTTCTACAGCAAGGAAATTACTGAGGATTTGGAATTTGTGATTCGAAGTTGCTTTGCAAAAAGTTATTAAAGCAAACTATTGAAGCGATGAAGATTTGAACAATTTCAAAAAACTAATTTGGTCGCGAAAAGCTGAAGTTTTTCTATGCATGCTATTAAAGAAATGAAACTTCTGAAATGTTTCGAAGTTGTTTTCATAGCTTGAATTGCTAAGCAAAAAGAGTAAGTTATTTAAACAAGCAATTGGATCGATGAAGCACTTTAAAATATTGCGAAGTTTTTTTCATAGCTTGGATTGCTTCGCAAGAAAGTTAAAGTTTTCAAGCAAGCTTTTGAAGCGATGAAACTTTGAGTTCTAGAACAATCTTGGCATTCTCTTAAACGCAAATTAAACGATCTTAGAAAATTTTCTGAAGTTTTGCACTCAACAAAATTAAAACGTTGCGTTCAGTTAATCATTGCGCTCATAGTGCATTCCGACTTTCATTTAATACTAGCGTGTACCGCACCTCCGGTGCTTCGAATTTTCAACAACTCAAAAAAACTATTCTTTGAGTGTACTCTGACAGCACCCAATTACAGGTTTCGTAATTAAAAATGTTGCAACGTTTTTTATTCACGTTTTTTAAACAAATTTCGAAGAACCATAAAGTTTTGTGAAATTTTATATAAGTTCTTCGAAAAATTTAAAATGAATTAAGAATTGTCACAACTGGGAAACTGAAAGCACTTGAGCAGTCACTTTTGGACGCAAGATTTATAACTCCTGAGAGTACTCTTACAGTACCCAGCTACAACGTTGGGAAGTTCAAATTTTGAGAAACTTCACCTTAAGTTTTCTAATCTCGAAATCAACCAATATTTGAGCAGTCTTTTTTGATGGCAATATTCGCAAACTTTGAAAGCAGACAACTACAGGGTTGGGAAATTCACTTTAACGAATTATTTTGTATTTTGAGTTTTCTGAAAATTTCCAAAAAAATCACACAAATCGTCGTATCTCTTTAACAAAAATGATTTGGGCGTTCTTAAATGGAGGCCGAATTTTACAATCCCTGAGATTGCTCTGACAGCCCCCCAACTACAGGTTAGGAATTTCAAATTTTTTTGAAAAAGTCACAAAAAACGTCATATCTGGAAAACTGCACAATTTTGAACGGTCCTATTTGGAGGCAAAATTCGCAACTCCAGAGAGTACCCTGACAGAGCCTCACTACAGAGATAATAATTTCAAGTTTTGCGAAATTTTTTATAATTAAATATTCTGAAAAATTTTGAAAAAAAATCCTAAAAAAACGTCAGATTTCAAAAACTACAAGAATTTGAGCAGCGATACTCAGAGTCAA